GAGGGAGGGAGGGAGGGAGGGAGGGGAGGGTCGTCCTTGGTCTCTCGGCATTTTGGCGAATATAGTGTTCAAGCGACATGGGCCGCCGCTTCTTGATACAAAAGACCTGTACTTTGAATTCTCACGCGTCTATTCGCACATTACCGTCACGACAGCTTTCGCGTGTGATGGCTTGATAGCTCGATGGCCGGGAGTGGTGTCGTTTGGTCGGACCATCTTTGAGGTGGAATTTTTGCTCTTGTCGGTAGTCTCTTGGGCTTCCCAGCACTGAAAGACACTGTAATTCGTCCAACTTTTCGCTATGATGGTGTTGCCCCTTCATGGCACTTTTCTGCTAGTCATAAAATTGTTGCTGCTTCATTCAGTACTACTAGTCCGGTGTCTGGCAAGTGAGCCCCCAATTTTCTGCGACCCCGAGGTCCTCGCCGTATGTCCCCACGACACGTTCATCCCCTACGAGGAGTTCTCCGTTTCCTTCCCCGTGATCGAATACTGCATCCGGCCAAACAATGAAGGCTTTATCCCTGTCACCCGGGACACATGCGAATCTTTTGTACGTGGTACCTGGACTGTGCGCCCTGAATGGGCCGCACGCCGCGCGTCACATACGCTGCAGGAGCAATACAGGTGCACGGTATGTCAAGCTTACAACGCCTCAGCGCTCGTCGCGGACAAAGCTGGCGTCTGGATTTTTACCCTCCATAACACGGGCAGCTACTCGACCAAGACCTTCAAACACTGGGGCTCTCTCTTGGGGGACGTGAGTCTAAACCAGCTGGTCGTCTCAGGGACAGGGAAACGCTATTTGTTCGCCCTGGCCTCCTACGCCTCGGCCATGAAGCTTTTGAACGCGTCAAGCAATGTCCTGGCCGCACAGCCTATGCCTGAAGAGCTGAAGATCTCCCCGCGCGTGGTCGACCGTGCGTCGGTAATCGCTTCCTCTGTTCCCTCCCCGTCGCAGTCGGACGGAAGGGGAGAGACCTCGACTCTGGCCATTTACTCCTTGATCAGCAGCCACACAGACACCATTCTTCGAGCCTCGTACCACGATGATGCGCTTCGTGCCATCCACGAGGCCCTCGGGCTTCCTCTCTCCCCTGAGACGGCGGCCCGCGTGCCTCCCTTGCCCCAGGCAGCCCCCCCCCAAGAGGTCGGCATAGTGGTCACTCATTCGAACGCCGGGGTTGGGGGCAGCTCTCCAGGCGGCGGCTGCAACGATTGCACGGTAGAAACGACGGGCCACGGGAGCTACCTGGTCTCCAAGGTGCCGGTGCAGGTGACGGCCGAGGTCGCGGCTAACGTGTCGCGGGCGCTCGCCTCGGCTTTTGTCATCGACCTGGCCGTGCCGTTCTCGCTTTTCAACAAAGAGGCCGCCTACCTGCTCCAGTCAGGGACGAACAGCACGAGCCTGGGGGTGGATGGGAAGCGGGGGAGCACCTGGCTGTGGGACCAGGGGCTGACGGGGGAGGGCGAGGTGGTGGGGTTGGCCGACACGGGCTTGGACGTTGCCAGCTGTTTTTTCCACGACTCGGAGCACCCCATCACCTTCGAACCGGTCTACGACCCGGACACAGGCGCTGTCGTGCCCACTTACCAGAGCGCGGAGCATCGGAAGGTCCGGGAGTACTTCGCCTACGCCGATGGAGGGGAAGGGGTTCCCTCCGGCCACGGGACGCACGTGGCAGGGTCCGCGGTAGGATACCCGGCGGAGATGGCTCCGACCAGCAAAGGCTTCAAATTCCGGGGGGCGGCATGGGCAGGTGCGTTCTGTGTTCTGTCGGTGGGGACGCCTGCCGGGTGGGGGGGCCGAATCTGCTTGACGTGGCTCCTTTTCGTGACTTGCTTCTCTCACGTCATCTTTTCCTTACCCCTCCCCTTTCCCCCTGTATCTTTCCCGTCTACAGCTAAACTCGCCTTCTTTGACATCGGTCTTCCCCACGACACCTTTCTCTACCTCCCCCCCGACCTCGCCACCGGCCTGTTCCCCCGCACCTACAACCTGGGCGGGCGCATCCACTGCAACTCCTGGGGGTCCAGCATCTCCGACAACAGCGCGGAGATGCGACAGACGGACGCTTACTTGTGGGAGCACCAAGACTTCCTCATCCTCTACGCCTCTGGGAACGGTGGTTCCCGGGCGGGGACGATTGGGACGCCTGCTTTGAGCAAGAATTCGGTGGCTGTGGGCGCCACCACCAACAATGTGGACCGGCCAGACGTGGCCTTCTTCTCCTCGCGAGGACCCACCTTTGACATGCGCTTCGGGATCGATGTCTGTGCTCCTGGGTACTACGTGGCCAGCGCCTATTCCCAGGCGGACAGCCCTCCGAACCAGTGTTACATTCAGGGGGTGGCGGGCACCAGCATGGCCACTCCCCACGTGGCTGGGACCGCGGCCCTCTTGCGCGGGTACTTTGTGCGGGGCTTCTACCCTTTGGGCTGGCCAAGCGCTGCCCACGCCTTTGTGCCCATGGGCGCCCTCTTGAAGGCCATGCTGATCAATTCCGCCCTGCCCATGACCGGTCCGGAGGCAACCAAGCACAACACGCGATTCATCCAATACCCCAACTACGATCAGGGCTACGGGTTGGTGGCTGCCAAGTTCGTCACCTACTTCCAGGGGAGCGAGAACCCCAACGTCCTCTTCGTGGACGGGGCTTGGGAGGGAGATGCAGAGGGGAAAGGCTGTGTCTCCTGCCCGCAGCTCAGCCAGGGCCAGTCTGCGCGTTACGAGGTCGTTCCCACCTCGACTGCCACCCTCAAGGTGACCCTGGCATGGTACGACCACCCAGCCGCCGTGACCGTTTCCAGTCGGACTTTGATTAACGACCTGGATCTCACGGCCACCCAAGGGGACGGTAGCCGTTACTTCGCCAACGGCTGGACCTCCACGGCCGGGCCCAATTCCATTAACAACGTGGAGCAGCTGGTGATTCCCGACCCCTTGGTGGGCGTGCCCGTCTCCATCCAGGTCGTCGGCGCCTCCGTGGCCGCGGGGCCCCAGCCCTATGCCTTGGTCATCACGGGCCAGTTCGAAAAAAGCCCGCAGCTGTTTCCCAATGCCGTCCCGAAGGTCCTGTCCGTTGCCACGGATGGGAAGCAGGGGCTCTTGGTCGGGCGAAATCTGCCTCGTGCGTCAGAGCACCCGCAGAGCTACACATGGAGCTGTGTGAGTGACCCGGCCGTGCAGCTTGGCGCCCAAGTGCTCAGGTACTCCCCGGAAACCGCCGAATTCCTGGCCGTGGTCTTCAACACCACGGCCTGCTCCACTTTCACGGTGGCCATCACCTCCGATGGCTTCGAGGGAAACGCGAGCGGGCCGTTCAACTACACCGAGAGGGCGGTCACCACCTTCTGCACGGCCGTCGCTTCCGACGACACGTGTTGGGGCCTGACTGCCTGCGCCGGCCAATGCCTCCAGACGGAACAAGTCGAGGGAGGGCGGACCACGGACGTCACCGACAGGACCTCCGTGCTGGTGGTGGTCGTCGTCCTCAGCCTATTGCTCGCCTGCTGCGGCGGGCTTGTCTGGATGCGCAAGCATTGTCGGGACGAGGAGGAAGAGGACCTGTGGGAAACTACGGCCCCTCCGGCCGCCGCGTCTCCTCGCCCGCGGAGGTCCAACAGGCTGGGAAAAAGGCCGCCGGCCTCGGTGGCGCCCATTGCTTCCCCTGGAAAACCATCCAAGCACGGGAGGTAGCCCGCTTTCCCACACGCCTCGCAGCACGAGCCCTCTAGCCCCTTGGCACGATTTTTCACGCGATTAAAAGACTGCGGGAGCGGCCCTTTTCTCATCGTGTCTAGGACCCTCGTCATCTCCTTGGTCAAGTGGGAGGGAAGGGGCTAACCCCAGCCTCTATTTGTTTGCATCTCTTCAGTAATGCAGCACCAGCTACAAGTCATTGTGGGCGTCTCTGTCCTTGTGTGTCATACTCTGCGCCGTCCCGTGTGCATGGTGGGGGAAAGATTCATGAGGCTTGCATGTTATTACGCGTGATTGGACTCGTCTTTTTTTATGAACCTTACAACCACGCATAACAATTAGGATTCAGCAAACTGCTTTTAAACCAACACAAGAGACCAACCGGTCCAAGAAGATGCATCTACATTCTTTTTCAGCTTTATGTTGCTCCATTTCCTTTCGACATTTCCGAGTCGCCGCCCGCCGTTCCCCCTCCTGCTTCTTTCTCCCCCTCCCGTCCCGCCTTGACAAGCGCCGCTGTGAGTGTCACCAGGGCTTGCAATTGCTTGGATTGCTGCGGGCATTTCTCAGGCGCAAGCAGGCCCAAGAATCTGAGGAGGAAGTTGAGGGTTCCGACCAGAGAGGTGGTGGGCCCCTGGCGGGCTCCACATTCGACAGTCACCGCCTTGCGGACGTCGTCTAGGAGCTCGTGCACGTGGATCGCACCCTCTCGGGAAAGCAGCCCGTCTGGATCGCAGAGAAAGGACGTACTTCCTTGCGCCTCCACGTGGAAGCTCCCGCACCTGGGCGTGGATGAGGATTCCTTGGTGTCCTTACTGCTGCTGCGCAAGGGGCTGGGGTACTGATAAAGCCTCCAGCCATCGCGGTAACCGGGGGTGTCTGGCTGAGCAAGGCAGGGCCCTAAAGTCAAGAGAACGCAGCAAAGTTTGTAGATTGCATATGAAGAAACGTGGTATGGATGGTATTTTCTTGCTTTGAAAAGAGGGTCCGGAGCCCCCTTTGCCATTGCAAGAGAATTGAATACGTGCCAACTCGAGGGACGAGACTATGATGGGTGAAAGGGGAGGAAAGTAGGAAATGAAGGTCCAAAGACGACATCAGAAGAAGCACACACACGATTTAATCCATCATCACCTGCAAAAACATCTCTCACTGGCTGTGACGTGGGTGGGTGGGGACAGGGAGGGAGGGAGGGAG